AAGGGCGTTATTGCATAATCAGATTCGATTACTAAATTATGAAAAATGAGTAATGAGTTCAAATTGTTGATAAAATTCCAAAATTTAGCAGATACAATGATATTTGAACGATTGCTAACTGCAGATATCCGGTGTCCAAATAGTTTGAGATGCAGAAGTGTTATTTTTTACTTCTGATGCGTTTGCGTTTTTACTCGGATATAACAGGGATCAATTGTCCAAAGAGAAGAAAGATTGCTGTATTTTTCAGCCTTCATATCATCCTGACACGGATTATATACGCAACAACAAATGGCGTATCACTGCTACGTGCAGAAAGTGTTACATATACAGTACATGTAAGACAATATGAGATATTAGGATTTATTAACTCGGTTATACTCGGTCAAATATCTTCATTTCTTTTTTATAAAAAATGCTCGTTTTTATAATTTCCCTGATAATTATAGTTTTTGGATTAGGGAAAATCCTCATGTTAAAGCCTATTGGAGCAATACTCCATATGCATTAATTATAGTACAATATTAATGCCCACAGAATCATGTCCCAACATAAAACTCGTTCAATATTAAAAGTGTTCTCAGAGTGCACTATTGTTTCCAAAATTGTTTTGTTTATATAAAAATCACTATACCAATTAGAATAACAATCAAGTCATTCCGTCCGCACAGGTCATTATAGCCAACTCTGAAATTCAATTGGCTTTTTAACACGTTTTTCTTAGCTTAGCTTCGCGTTTGTTTGTTTGTTTGTTTGTTTGTTTGTTTGTTTGTTGTTAAAATTGACAACGAAAATTAGCCCACTTCTGATTGCTCTAGAGATCTGAAATTCGGCATGCAGGCTATTTTTGCCTAACAATTTCAGATACAATCATAAAAACTTAGACCCACGTTTTTTGGGGCGAGCCAAAATTTATTTTCTACTTTTTAGTCTACAAGAAAAACGTGTTTTTTAAAAAAGTATTTTTAAGTATTTTATCTCAAGTCCCGACCATCCAATATTCGAATCGCGTGCTTTTCGATAATGTCTTTCTGCCCTCGCTGAAAAACACAGCCAAGTTCCTTACGAGCTTTGCACTCCCGGCGTCCTGATGGCAGACGCAAACACCAACGGTGCTTTATTCCGCAGCGTGTTTTCCTGCCAATTTCACTCGCGGTGCTTTATTCCGCAGCGTGTTTTCCTGCCAATTTCACCCGCGGTGCTTTATTCCGCAGCGTGTTTTCCTGCCAATTTCACCCGCGGTGCTTTATTCCGCAGCGTGTTTTCCAGCCAATTTCCCCCGTGGCGCTTTATTCCGCAGCGTGTTTTCCTGCCAATTTCACCCGCGGTGCTTTATTCCGCAGCGTTTTTTCCTGCCAATTTCAGGCCGTTGTCAGCTTTGCTCCGGAAATACGAAAATATAGTTTGTATTTCGAGATTGGAAATTCTAAAAGCTTTGAATATTTATTGTGCATTAGATGTCTGAAGAAAAATATTATGGAGCTTATATTTAATCATGTGCTGTTAGTAAAAGCAAAAGAATCTGAATAATAAAATTCTATTAATTCTGGTGTATTTTACTCGAATTTGTAAACATCAGTTTTCCAGATATCCCTGTGAGCTTTTAACTTCATATTTGATATTTTTCAGCGCTTCGTAACCTTGATAATAAATTTAAACAGTTTTTATTTTCATTTGGTTGAAATAACTCAGATAACTGCGATTATTTTTATATGTTAAGCATTTTACTTCTCACTTTAATGATCATTTCTACACCACCCATGAGATTCTATCGATCCGGCGCTGGTCGTCGCTCAAACAAAGTTCGAACCGCAAGACAATATCGCTAGCCAGCTCTTTTACTTTGGAATCGACGAAGGCTTTGATAAATTCTCTTTTTATATCAGTAAAATAAAACGGCTTTTATGGGTTCGAAAATCGATAATCCCTGGGGAAGTGGATGCAGGGACGGCGGGGAAGCAATGTTCGAGATTTTTGGGAGTTCCATTGAACTGACAATTTCCTGTTTATTCAAAGGAGATAAAAAATAATTTCCCATAAAAATATAATGATTTTTTATACTCACATTCAATGCCAGTTTTGAAACTTCAAGGTTGATTTAATAGATTTTCTGTGATATATAAGAAAAAGATTTCTGTGAAATATACGAGATTTTTCGGTGAACCTTCCAGATAAATCGTGAAAGGAAGAGGTATCGTGAGCTGTGAAGAACTGTTTGTTTCTGCCTGATTTAGCAGAGTTTCGTTGTAAAACAAATTATATTTAATGAATAATATATGAGCTTTATTGGTCTTTAATCAATTAGTTGAAAATTTTCTCCGGACTGGTCATGTTTACACCGTTACAACCAGCAAGACTGCAAGACATATGCAATGAAAGAAGTTTAATTGCTTAAAAGTGTTTTATCTAAATTCAACGTAAAAACTTAAAAGCAAAGAAAACTCCACAAAAATTCATAGTATCTTTAAAGAAAACGTATCTTTAAGTATCTTTAACGTATAGTATCTTTAAAGATACTATGAATTTTTGTGGAGTTTTCTTTGCTTTTAAGTTTTTAGTGAATTTGCGATTAAAGCAAACAAGTGACATTATTACTTAAATTCAACGTGTGTTGTATGTATTACATTCACCGTGTATTAGTGTAAGCAGCGCGTTGAATTATTTTTCAAGAAAGTTTTATTTCCGACTCTCCTTAGTTTTGACCAGGAACAAAAGATAGCTGAGAGAAGACTTACTTCAAAGATGGACCGTTATATGACAACGCCAAGCGTACAACGTATACGTAAGAGTTCGTTGAACAGCCAGCTAGGCTTCTTCATTATTACTTTTGTGCAAAAAGGCCTGCTCGAGGATTAATTATTTCCCTTAGAAGTAACATAAATAAATGAAATTCTCAGGCCTATTGTTGCTCAGCATAGAGGATGTCCTTCCAAAACAATGCTGTGTCGTTGCCTTGATGGGAGTCGGGCTGATGTAATATTTTGATCAATATTAATATTATATAAATTTTGAGTAATCTTAACCATAAAACATCATAAGAACACTTTTTATAATCTTTCAAGAATACTAATTTTATATTATTATAAAGAATACAAATGTAAGGAATTATTATTCATAATATTTTTTGAAACACACATTTGAGCAAAAATTTGAATGAGAATAATTGTCTAATGAACATTAAAAGCCTTTGACGGTTCCATTTTTGTACATAAAAGAACCAATGTGTTATTATAATACTGGAATAAACACTGATAATATGACTGAAATAGCTACCAAGAACCGTGCCAGACCTCTAAAGTTCCCCATCAAACTGGTGATCGTATATGAACACTGTTCTTAATCTCGGTCCGTTAATGGCAACAGCTGAATTTTTAATTCCTTTTATGGTTTTATTGCGGAAAGAAATGGCACATGAGTACATTATCGAAAAATTGAGTGAACCTGAATTAAAGAAAACGATGACATTTTAAACTGCATTTGATTTCACTTTTGTCTATTAGAATTTATGAGCAATTGTTACAAAGATAACGATACTTAGCAAACGCTGTTAATTGACGGAATCACATGACATGTGCTGGACCACATAGCATGAGCTGGCCCATATAACATGTGCTGGACCACATAGCATGAGCTGGCCCATATAACATGTGCTGGACCACATATATCATGTGCTGGACCACATAGCATGTTACTACAGCGCTCACGTACGCGCCAAGGTTCCCGTTTTTACACTGTAAGCTTCTATTATTTACGCACAGGAAGAAATCTTATCGATGTTTTTGCCAGGCCGCCGTTTACGAGAGCCTGGCATGCAACTCGCACGGCTCAATTAATATTTGATCTCACATAACTAAATTAGGTTCATTTTAAATTGTAATTTAAAATGAACCTAATTTACAGTTTACATTTTTTACAGGTTATTTATTCCTGATTAGATGATAGTAAATTATAGATTGATGAAATTCGATGATCGTACAAACGAAATATTCAGATTTGCAATGGTGTAAGTATTAATGTATTATATAAAATCAACCAAAATGTAGGCTTTAATGTAATGTCACACCTGATCGAGAATGAAGAAAATTTCCATTACTATTTGACAGAAAGACTTTCATAACAGAAGAACTGATTCCTATGCAATTTATATAATCCGTTAAACTTTACAATCAATTTCTATAAACCCCCGACTTACTATTCATGGGAGCACGTTAATCCGCAATATACGTCCAATTAAAGATATTCGCTGCGACTCATACGAACTCCTGCAGAACTGCTTTCGGATACGAAATAAATAAACGATTTTTTTTTCACAGCCTCGGCGATGATTGCTCTGCCATTTTGGCTCGGGAAGGCTCATGCGGATTGCTCTGACAGCTCATGCGGGCGGTTAAATGATAGGGTTTTATATGCATGTGTCGGTGCAATACATAGGCGCAAGTGTATTATATGCTGCGAAAAAAGATCGTGTATTTTGTCCATTTTTTATACACACTTTAACTTTTGCTCGTAGCACTGATACGCCCTCTTGCTGGGTTTAGGTGAGTCAGGCTCACCCACATAAAGGGCATGAGGTGCAGCCTTTTTGTAAGGCTCAACTGAAGCAGGATGACCCAAACATGAGCAAAAAGTGAATCGATATTTGGACAGTGTCTCACTATTTTTTATGAGTGGCTCCATCATTCCTATTTCTATTCCCTATGCTTGTTATGTATGGAACCTAAGCGTCTATAAGAGAATAAATGTTCCGAGATTCCTGGAAGTAATATACAAATTTTCGTCTTTGGCTTTGCAGGAATATACATCATGTATGTATAGGTGAAAAATATTCAGGACGTGATAAAACACAATGTTTTTTATTCATTATCAAACTTTATGCGTATGTTTGCACTGAAGGGACAGAATTTAAGCTATTGTTAATTGAATAATGTAAATAAAAAAATTTTACCAACCACAGAATTAAATTAAAGCAGGAGAAAATTCAGTGAATGTATTTACTGAACTGAAGCTATCATGCGGGTCTGGATATTAAAATTGTCCCATTTAAAACTTATTTGAACTTTTACTTCGAGCTTGGATAATTCAATATGGAAAATTATTCTGTTATCACAAAGTGAAGTTATCTGCAAATCCCAAGTTGTCTTCAGCACGAAAGTTGTCTACAATATCAAAGTTGTTTGCAATTCGAGTTGGGTCTGCAAAGACCCAACAAATTGCAATACCCAAGTTTTCTGCCACACACAAGTTGTCTGCAGAGCAGAGAACTTCTGCTTGAAACGCATACACAAAAACTGACGTTCAGTGCAGTGAGATGAAATCCACTCCAGAAACGCAATGAAATCCACTCCAGAAATGCAGTGAGATGAAATCCACTCCAGAAACTCAGTGAAATCCACTCCAGAAACTCAGTGAAATCCACTCCAGAAACTCAGTGAAATCCACTCCAGAAACTCAGTGAAATCCACTCCAGAAATGCAGTGAGATGAAATCCACTCCAGAAACGCGGTGGTCAATCAGCCTCGAATTCTCCGGTACTACTGCCAAAAATGCATTGTTTTAAACACGAGGAAATTAAATAAAACTGTGTAGATATGATGCACAGAAATTCAGATGCTGAGTCGGATGATGGTTGTATAAAAAGATATTTTCATCAGTGGCTTTCAAAAGGAACCATTTCGGCGTTATGGCTTCTGGCTCTCTTGATGATAAGTCACTCGGCTACCGCCAACATACCAAACAAAGGTAAGTGGTAAAATGCTATTTATTTGTAAAATGCTTTAAATATTTGTTGAATATTTAATAATTATTTGCTATTTACATATTCAACAAACAATTAACTCTCAATATCATAACTTGTTTATCTTCATGGACGTTGGACAGCGTATATTCGAATGTTTTATATTCTTATATAATATATTCGTATATTATTCTCATTGCAAGTACGTGATATTCGTTAATTATTGTTGTAAGATATAAAGTTTTTCAGATGTATATAAAGTCTATATATATTTTCAGAAAATTAATGTATAAGCAGCTAAAAAATAGTAATTACGTAAAACCTATATGGTTTATGATTTAATTCAGTTCATAATTCAATACCGGTTACATATTTATGAGGGTTAGGAATGGTGAGAAGTTTAAATGAGAATTCTCCAAGGATTTGCAATTTGGAGGCCTGAAGTTTGGGACAGGCTCAGGCGTCACAGAAGTCACTTCGGAGATTCTCCTGCAGTGCGTAGCTTCTTGTTGCAGTTTATTTGCCACCATCGGTTGACCGGCGTCAGTGTAATATATCGGTAGAATCTCATTCTGAATCATGTATTCCTTTTTAGCGCATTTTCTCATTTATGGAAAAAAGGCGCTATTGTGCTTGCCATGTCCGTCTGTCCGTCCGTCTGTCCGTCCGTCTGTCTGCCTGTCCGTGACTTCAAGTTTTCGTCGACGAGAAAATGCGCTCTCTGTAACTCACTTCAGTGAGTACTGATTATATTTTTTCCCGGATACCCTCACCACAACACACATCGTCCAGAATTCAGTCATCAGAATTCAGTCACATAGAATACCAAAATTATGACTGCCTTCATCTCGAATCCTTCAAAATTTCAGCATCCAGAATCCTTTTTTTCCAAATCCTGAATTTCTAAATACAGTAAATAAAAACGAAACAAATGTTTATTATAGGACCTCGCTTTGTAACTCACATCTAGAACGGAATTACCATTAGACTCCTGACTTGTATGTTTAAAGAAAACTACTATTATTCCTTGCTTATTATGAAAAGAAAATTTCAACTTTTCTGTATTATGCCACCAGTTTACAAAAATATCTCAAGATTCCTCCAAATGGATCAATATTCCATTATTTTAAAAGAACATTTTATTTCCTGGGTAACAGTATGTATGCAATATGTCTCACGGATTTGCGCCCAAAATTTCCTGATAAAATTTCAGCGTGAAGTTTAAAACAAAATACTAAGCTTTGACGAACAATAATGACTATATTCCAAATTGTATTGGATATCTGCAATGGATTAATTTGAGCAACTTTTTTTGGTATCGGCTTTTTTATATTCTTTGAATTTATAATGGAAAGTCTGTTCAGTATTTTAGGACTCTCACAGAGTAAACAAAATTGATCGGCTATCAAGAACTTGGAGAAAAGTCTCGACCCATCGACCTGCAAAATTACATGCCACGGTGGGCTCTAAATAACCTTAGCGACCGCATCCATCCTAAGCAAGGTGTTTCACAACACATTATTAGGTATCATCATGAGAGCGTGTTGGACGTGACAATGATGATCAACACGATCAAGATATTGCTGATCTATATATCTAAAAAAAATAATCAAATCTATTTAAAATAATAATTTCCATATATGAGAGTAATTAGATTTTTTAATAATAATTGAACCTAGAAAATGTTACTCAAGGTATGCTTCTAATAATTTTATTTTGTACACAAAAAATTCACACACCTTCGAGGTGTGAGCCCAAGTCCAGAAATTCATCATCACTGCCTCATCAAGAGTTCTTATATTGCAATTACAATGATTACCTTAGGGTCGTGATTTTTGTGATGATTCGCAAATAAGACCAAGTGACGTACATCGCATGCTCCCGCCAATCCGAATCCCGCAATATTCAGCTTGCATTTTCCACAACTTTACATCCTGCAAAATGACGCATGCAGGATGCTCTATTCTGGACAAATACGAGTAAATGCATATTCATTATTTTTTTCTAGAAAAAGTTGAGCAGGACATTGACGTCCACATTAAAAAAAGTTTCTTTAGCTTTAGGAAAGTTATGACAAGGTTATGGGAAAAATTTCCAGTGTTTTAAATGAAAAATGAAAATGTATTTGAATAAAATATGATAAATGTAGAAATGCGCAATTATAAAAAAATTAATGCGCAAAGGCCAGTCTTTGTATGAAATATGGAACTCGGCTCCGCAATATCTAAAAGAAGCATAGATTCATTTCGTTTGCTCCGGTTGTGCTGCCATGAAGCTTTACATCAAATTACAATAATGTGGGAAACACAATATCAAAGTTTCACTTTAAGCAGCTTTGTTGCAGAAATCATGGCTCAGGTGATTTTTTTTTTAATTGAGTTGATGCTGAAATCACAACAGCAAAGTTTTTCTTCCAAATGTAATAAATAGGGAATCAGATCAGCAAAACTTTACTGCGATAAATGAATACTGCGATAAAATAAATAAATACTTTTATGTTCAAGCGATAATGCCTGAACATAAGCAGCTTAGTTTTAGATGCAATAGTGCAGGGGTAATAGCAGCAAAGTATTACATGTTAAACACAATTCTGGGGAAGACGCTCTTCGACGTCTTACATTATACATTTTGTTTCCGCCACGGAAGAATAAGCAAGTAGTCAGAGGCTTATTACAGGGCTCTTAGCAGGCTAATCTCTCATCAGAGGAGATTTGCGACGATTTTTAACGTTGAGTTGCGTGCAAATTCAGCAATTTATAACCGCAGTCTCTATCTCCCTTACGGTGCATAAGAAAAATTTCTAGACATCGTATATTTGTACTGACCTTTACATCGTAGATATTGATCTTTTTGATTACATGATAATAGAGTTCGAATTAAATTCTTTTTAGAGAATACATATTATTTTCATTGAGCCTAGAATAAAATTGTAATACTGTGAAGTGAAGATTCAATTACGACTGTAAGTGAAAACGAAGACACACACAAAATACTTATATTCTCCATTGTTTTTCCAACATGAACTTGATAAAAATTACGTCGATTTACAAAAAAGTTCCCATATAAATTATTTGAATTTAAATCCTGTCCCGTTCTATTTACATTCCCTCTAAAAAACAAATAAATTTTGTTTATTTTTCGCCAAGTTGCTCACGAAGCTTTTCTTGATTGCCGATGCACGGAAAATCCAGCTTTTGTCTTGCGTTTACTGGACCAGGAATTTACATTTCTGTCGAAGGAGAGGGTGGATTTTCCGGAACAAGTCAGGAAAAGGTCGCTTCGTGTTCATGTTTAAATTATTTATCTGTTTCTCAAACATTATATTACAAAGTCTTTGTAATTCGTTTTTTATTTGGAAATTCAATTTTTTTTATTTTTCTCCTATAAGAGCTTTGATAAACAGAATTTTAAAGCATGGTTCCTTTTATCTCTAAGAAATGTAGCCCAGTGAATTGTTGATAGTTCAATCGAATTACTAATAAAGTTGTGCAGACGTGGATTTGATATTGAAGTTTAGGCATTTCAGTGCAATTAGTTATTAGGCCATTACACGCAGGAGTGTAGCAGCGCGTAGAAGCATTCAATTAGATACATTTCACACGCTTAAATATGGTGTTTACCAATAATAAATCCTCTACAAGCGTCGTTTGAAAATGAACATACGTGTTTTAATGGTAATCATACCTCTACACTCGCTCCTTGTACGTCACACTCAGGCGTGTGGCGGCGTGTAGAGGCGCTGTCGCTACACTCCACACGCTTGAACATACGTATTTTAATGCTAATCATACCTCTACACTCGCTCCTAGTACGTCACACTCAGGCGTGTGGCGGCGTGTAGAGGCGCTGTCTCTACACTCCACACGCCTGAACATGCGTATTTTAATGCTAATCCTACCTCTACACTCACTCATTGTACGTCACACTCAGGAGTATGGCGACGTGTAGAGGCGCTGTCTCTACACTCCACACGCCTGAACATGCGTGTTTTAATGCTAATCACACCTCTACACTCGCACTCAGGAGTGTGGCGGCGTGTAGAGGCACTGTCGGGGCGGGAGGCTGTGCTGCCGTGCGAGGTCGGTGTGCTGGAGGAGGCTGACATGATCTACGTGGTGCTGTGGTACAAGAACGGAGAGAAGGAACCCATATACAGGTCTGAAACTCATATAGCTATTTACGTACTGTTTCATATTACGACAAAATTCATTACATCGATAGATCAGAAACATTTATATATTGCCATAATAAACCATACGGCACAAAATTAAATTTTTTGAAAAATTTTGCAATTGGTTTCGCGAATCATTGGTGGACGAAGAAGATTTTTATTATGGTTCGTGGTTTTGGAGGTAGATATTTATCGCTTGACCTTGCTTATTTTAATAAATTGTTTACCATTAATATCAGTTTTTAGAACCTTTCCAATTTCTAAAATTGTCCGAGTAAATACATGCGTATACTTCGGAAAATATAGTTTCCAATCATCTTATTATTTTTAACTTATTAACTCTTCACTCACAAATTGTATTTAAAAATTCGCAATAGTTACATTAGAAGCTAGCGGTTGTTATTAGCTTGACAAATATCTACACATCAAAACATCGATGCACGTACATTAAAGTTAATCGTTGAATTAGAAAGAATTACTGAAAGAATTAGAAAGAATTACTTACATTGATCAAGGCTCACAAGTAATGATTGGATGACTTCTCTTTGATGGACGTACTGCAGTTAAGTGAATGGCAATAATGATGTCAGTATCGTACCAAGCTTGTTCTTTAATAATTATCAGTTTACTCAATCGATCTGCTGAGTAGATGAGGCTTCCTTAAGACTCATAGCAAACAAAGCAATTATCACATTTGCATAATGACCGAAACCAAGAGCTGCGCCGTACGTCATCTCAATGACTGCCTTCTCCTCTAATGAAATGGATTCATAATTTGCAGTCTCTCACTTAATTAATTACTAGAAATGGAGCTTCGGGACTCATCGATCGCAATCAGTTGGGTCTCTTTTCTCAGTTCTCAGTTCTCGGTTCTCAGTCATTCATCAATCAGCGGCTTAGAAACAAAGTAATAAAATATAGGATTCTTCATCTGAACTTGTATTCAGTTTCTCACTAGTAAACATTTTTTAAAGTTGATCAAGGTTATTCAATTAGGGACATTCGATTGCAATTTAGAATGTATTTTTTTACCACTATTGTAACACGTTAATTTTATTTGGGATTCACACCTAACAAAATAAATTTATTTATAATGCATGAGCAGAATCAAACGATTTCGTACCCACATTTATTACTATGAGAGATGGTAAACATGATGAATTTTGCCTGTTTGCCAGACCCCTTGGAGGAAATTTTTCTCAATCATCTCCACAAAGACTAATGCAATATTGATAGCCATTTACCATCGTTATTAGCTCATCTGCTTCACTGTCAAAAAAAATTACCGTTAACGGTATTATACCGGCGTTGCAATTGCCGGTCGGCACGTGAAAAGAAACACAGTGTCAACGTTTTTATTCTAATTTAACACTAGAAATCCGTAAAAAATCTGATAAAAACGGCGAAAATGTTTATTTTCACGGGGCGACCTGCCACTTGAATGCCAATGAGACCGTTTTTTCACCGTTTTTTCTAACAGTGTTGGGAGCTCTAGCACGCATTCAACTCTCACACCAGCAGCCATTTTCTCAATTTCGATGATGCAATCATTCAACCTTTCACTGCCAGTCTAACTATTACTTATAACAACAACTCACTGTAGACTTCACTTGAAATTGTTCGCACCGAGATGCTTTTCGTGTCAATCGATTTTGCAATTTATTTCTGCTCAGCTACGACAATCGGCCTCGTGGTCTGCAGCCCGCTGAAGACCGACACATTATTCAGAGTCCGGTCTTAAAAGGCCGGGTGAGTTTCAGACCAGGGCAGGTGCCAGCCCTCCATATCAGACCTGTGACCGCCTCAGACCAGGCCAACTATACATGTCGGGTCGACTTCCGAATAGGTGAGACTCATCTCTTAATTGAGTAAATATTTAAAGTAGCCGTAATTAAAATAACTATTCTTCTCTGAAAAAATATACTAGAACTTATACTGTTGATGAAGAGTAGATCCTTGCAGTTCTCAGCAGCATCAAATAGAATGAATATTATAACTATTTTTGAAAGAATGTTTTAACAGAATTTGTTTAAAAATAACGTAGTTTTAAGATGACATAACAAATGTTTGCAGTCGGAACGGGATTTAAAGATTTTTATCGAATAATTTTAGAATTATTTTATCATTTCCCATTCAATTTATTTCCCATTAGATGCACTCCCCACCACTTGATGCCACAAATTGCTTTAGAAACATACGCATCCTTCTCCGGAATTATTATATTTTATCAACATAATTGATTGATCCATAAACTTGAGCTCTACATATTCCATCATTAACGTTGGACCCAGCAGCTTCACTTATAAATTATGAGTAAATCGATATATATTAAAATAACATATATATGAAAACTTACTCAACACTAACGTGATTTAACTAATATGATAGATATGAATATCGTAGCTATATTTTTTGACATTGCCTATTATATTTTGGGTTAAATTTTGCATTTGTATTTGAGCAGCGAGCTCGCGCAGCACTCACCTAACCCTGCAAGTGGTGGTGCCGCCGTCAAATCCAATACTTCAGGTCGAGGGGAAACTGCTCAAACCTGCTGATAAAATTGGTCCGTTGCTCGAGGGTCAGTCACTCAAGATTACTTGCCTGGTAGAGGGCGGCAAGCCCTCACCGTCCCTCATATGGTACCGAGGGGAAGAGGTTAGTATAACGATCACGACGATTAGCATCATCAGTGCATGGTTGCTGGTGATGATGATATTTTGGCAGCCGAATGAAAAATAATGCTAGGTGCACAAATGAATGGCGGATTTTTGTGTTACTTGATAATACGTAGACGGTTTCAATTAAAAATTCATGTTATTGAAAAATAAAATATTTTATTGTAATAACCTTTTACTATGACATAACAACATTTTGAAACACTGAAAATTTTTCGGTGAAAATTTTTATTATATGTTCCGGGATGCTTCGAGCGAGTTTATAGTTTGAGTTTCTTGTACAAAAACAAGTTCATATTTTCTCTGTAAACTCAGAAAATACTCATTCATTCCCAAAATTTATTCTCCATTTGGCTTCCTTCAGATTCTAGACGCTGAGACTGAGACTGAACTTGAGAATATTGTGTACCCACGACACTCAAGTCTGTCGGATCACTATAGAACAAGAGGAAGTTATCGTCTTAGTCTCCACAACAACAACAGGGCTTACAAACGCTCTAGATTACATCGCTCCATGCTAACAAGAGGAGGAATGCCGAAGCTGTCCCGCAGCCAAATAAGACGCGCTTTCAACTCGCGGCGAGTTGGCTACAGAAGAGTGCTTTCAATACGCAGTTTGACGGACGATCACTCAGACGAGGAGACCAAACATAAGTTCACACTAAACCAACTCAACATTGAACACCTAACTCGTGACATGCATGGCGAGAGATTAACGTGCGTGGCCACCAACAATAACGTAACGACGCCCACGTACGCCAGGGCGACCATCGCCATGAACCGTGAGTGTTACAATCATTGCATATTCATCGTCAAACTAATCAGAATAAAGCTATTAGATTTTATTTTAAATCTATTTGATTTTATTTTAAATCTATTAGCTTCTATTTTAAATCTATTAGATTTTTTCTTTTTAAATAAGATTTTATTTCACAGCTTGAGGGAATCAAAATATGACTTTAAGTATATTTGTAGATAAACTAAAATAGTTTTGCGTATTGTATAAGTAAGTTGACGTTTGTAAAACTAAAATAAGTTTCTTGACGTAACTACAGTTCGCCCCCTGACCACTCATCTGGTCGGAGCTCCAAAGCAGTTGCGTGTCGGCCAAGCCTACAACATCAAATGCATCACTACAGGCAGCAGACCTGAGGCTAACATAACTTGGACCCTAGGCAACGTAGCTTCCTTGTACACAGTGCCTTCAGTGGTGAGAATTTTGCTTTACGGGTCAAAATAATTATTTAATAATTTAGGAATATTGAAATAAATAAATTTAATTGGTCGAAAATAATAAAATAATTTTCACATGATAAATAAAATTCTTATTGTCTTGGTTCTGTAAGTTATAAATTTGCACTGTTCGGTTACATCAAATTCAAAACAAGTTTTAGTTGATCATCTATATATTCTAATGAACTGACTGTAAAAAAGATTCAATGCGAGCTGAACCGTATTCTCTACCCTTTTATTTGAATCATTAGAGGGTCCAAAAATTTTTCTGCATGGTTATTTTGTTTATGTATAGATTCCATTGAATGATATTATCGCAAAAGAATGTTTCTTTGATGGAAAGAAATTTACTTTGTTATTATTTTAAGTGCTGAAAATGCTATAATGAAAAATAAATGTAAATATAAGAAAATAGGCATGTCTATCTGTTAAAAATTTCATTAATCTATATGTAAACCATCAGCTAAGCATTCTAAAGTAGACACTTCATATCATCGAGCATTTAAATGCATCCAGAACTCATCATGTTATATCCATTGATTCACGAATTTTCAACTAATGAAATATTACATTTTCACTGCTGAAATTTCGTGTTAACGGTGTAAAAAATTTCACAGTAAATTGTTTTGATACCGTGACGCTTCAGAATTTAATTGCATAAACTTAACTCTAAACTTAATTGAATCCCAAGTTAAATATATCAGGAATGCCTCTAACAATTAAAGTTTATTATAGCGCTATGTTGTAACATCGCTCTATTAATAAGAAAAGTTAATTAATTTCGTCTATCATAATCGTGATCCCACGTTAATCCCAATTTTCACTTTGGTGAAATGAAAATTGACTGAAGTTGCCGGAAAATAGTTTAATGCAGTGGTATTATCGATGCGACAGGATCCATTAGCGCGTTGTTTTTTATCAAGTTTGCAGTCTTCTCTTATTAAAATAGAAAATACGAACTGGGAGACAGACGGTACGTAATCTCATTAGCAAAGAACTCTTCTTTTTGTTTATCAGCAATGTCGTGTTCTTGCTTTTACCACGAAATTGCTTGACTGAACTTTGACATTAATTTTTTAAATAGGCTTAGTAGTTGTTTTGCAGTCAGAGCTTAGAATTATGGCTGTGCTTTGAGATTAATTATTAAGGTAGGCTTGGTACATGTTTTGAGTCAGAGCTTAGAATTATGGCTGAGCTTTGTAATTAATTATTAAGGTAGGCTTGGTATTTGTTTTGCAGTCAGAGCTTAACATTATGTCTGAGCTTTGAAATTATTTATCAAGGTAGACTTGGTACCTGTTTTGCAGACAGAGCTTAGAATTATGCCTGAACTTTGAAATTAATTACTAAGGCAGGCTTGGTACATGTTTTGCAGATAGAGCACAGCATCAACATGAGCTTGTCGAGCGTGAGGCTGACAGCAGAGCGACGTATACACGGTCAACGTCTGACGTGCACTGCGGTCAACCACCTCTTCCCTACCCATCCTATGACAGACTCGCTCGTTCTCAACGTAACTTGTGAGTTTATCTCAAAATAATCAGGTTTTTGTCTTCGTTATGACCATCCTATGACAGACTCGCTCGTTCTCAACGTAACTTGTGAGTTTATGCAAAATAATAATATGTTTGTCTTCATTATGACCATCCTATGACAGACTCGCTCGTTCTCAACGCAACTTGTGAGGTTATCACAAAATAACGAGGATTGTGTTTGCGTTGTTATGTTAATTTTACTGCGTTAATTTAGCCTTGACTTGTTAATTTAACCTTGAATGCCTGATAGACAGATCACAAACACAAACAGCGGCAAATAATCAATATTTAAACTAAATCGTTATTTACACTAAAGGAGAACGCTAGAATCGCATTAGCGTGATAGCGAGAAGAAATGAATTATCACGAGTTTTTTAATAATGAGTCACAAACGATCCCTGCATTTAAAATTGCTTAATGAGAAGTATTACTCTCCAGCTGATTACGAGAACAAACAAATGGAGGAGGTGCGATATAAAAAGTAATACACTTTTTAAAATGTCACTCAATTTTCAGTAGTTTCTCATCAGAAAATATTTGACTGCCAATATTGACAGAATAATGAGAAGACGATCAAAATTATTGAAGCCATCAAACTGCCCTCTCAGGAAAATATTTTCATGCCTTATTCGGTTTTTTAAAAATTAAAAGTAAATTATTTTTCAGTCAGTAAACGCTGCATCAAAGTTGTTTCACATGTGAATTTAAATTAGAAACTACAAAATTATCATTGTTTGAGTTTGGAATTTGTTCCAGACGTACAATATTCCTTCCAGAAAAATTTCATTTCCTAAAAAGTCTTACCGATTTAATTTGTCAAATTGTTCCCAAATACAATTAACTGAAGATTCCAATTCAAATAATAGTTTTGTTCTATAATTACGCTGCCAATTTTGGTTATTCTGGTACATATTTTTTATGATGCACATTATATCTATGCGTCCTGAAACCTTGCAAGCTGAACGGGGATTATGGAGCTGCTAATTATCAATGTTGATAAGCGTCATTTAAGAATGTTCATTTTGGACAAGTTTCTAAAATAGTAAACCACTAATTCATTTTGGGAAGGAGGTAAATGAAAAAAAAATAAAATAAAATGCCTCAGTTTTGTCATATTTTTTAATGAATATTAATATTCAGTGCTGGATATTCAGTCGGTAAATAAAGATGATCCTTTACCGACTTTCAAGATGATTTAATTAATGATGTTTTGTCTCGGTGATCAACTCGCTTCCCGCTGTAATTCTAAATTATATTTTCAGTAATCATAATTCATTTCGCAACATACATGAATATATATTTATATACCTAACTATATTCAAAATTATTGACATGACCATTCATACTTAATCAATCAAATGAAATTGATGCTAAAAATGTCATAAATTTAAACGTTTTTATTTGATTTTTTACATTTTTGTTTAAAATTTTTTGCTTCAGATCCGCCAGTGGCGTCGCTAGAGCTCGGCCGCGCCGTTGCGTCTGTGGTGCGCGAGGGAGAAGACGTATACTTCAACTGTATGGTCGACTCCAACCCTCCCACTTACAAGATATCCTGGTTCCATGAGGTCAGTTATTCATTTCTGTCTTAGTTTTAAATAAAGTTTGCCAAAAAAATGTTGCCAAAAATCTACCTAAAATGTCAGGTTTTATGTGAGTTAGCTATTCATGCAATACTGCTGTATAATAATTGCAGGATTGGGTAATAATCTACGTATAGAATATGTTGATTTGAAATGTCAGCTGTGTATTTTTGTGTTAGTTCTAAGTAAAACTTGGTAGTGCCTCTCAGCCAGACTTAATGCTTTTTTATTAGACTGAAAAGACCTATACCTCAAAAAACGACCACAACTTATATTCAAAGGTCATGCGTTGGAAACATTCACTCGTGTTTATCAATGACTTTGGTCAACGTTCTAGAATAGAACAGACGCTCGCCTAATATTTTATTCCGAACATAAGCGTGTTTATATTAATATAATAATTTATTGTACATTTCAATTCGTTTCATTACAAGTTTGTTTATTATATCAATAATTTGTGTTCAGAACGCGCCACTAGTCCACGCACCGAGTCAGGGTGTGGTGGTGAGTGGTCAGAGCTTGGCGCTGCAGGGAGTGCGCAGGGAGCGAGCAGGGAACTACGTGTGTGCGGCCTCTAATGTTGAGGGAGACGCTAGGAGTCCACCCGTCACGCTCCAAGTCAGCTGTGAGTGTAAAAGTAAAAGTAATGTCGATAATTAAAAAAAACTCCGTGAACATGAATAGGTACCTATAAATAAAATGATTTTCTTTAATTTTAACGAGGTTTTGTTATTACACATATATATGTGAAAACTAGCTTGAACCGCGTAAATAATTTGAATACCACCAGTATTGTTTTTTTCATTCAAATAATGTTATATTTCCTGCATTGAATTATTATGTCAATTCCGTAATAAATTAATGATTAAATTTCACGTTCCATTCTAAAATGCTCAAACTATAGGCGTAATTTTATTCTTAACTTTCCTTCATATAATATATTTTTCTTCATATAACAACGCCTTCCTGGTTGACAATTTGAAAACTCACTTCCCGCAATGGTGATTCTTCGTAAGATGTTATCGTTTCTCCTAAGACGGTATACTTTCTTCTCTGATGGTATCTTTTCTCATAAGGTAGAATTCTTTCTCTTATGATGTTCTCCTATTTCCATAGGTGTGTGTCCTTTCTCCTAAGATGGTGATCGTGCTCCTAAGATGGATCTTTCTCCAAAATTGGAATCTATTTTTTCCAAGATGGTGACCTTTCTCTTAAGATTATATCCTCTATCCCAAGACGGAATCCTTTCCACCAAGATCATGTCCGTTCTCTCAAGACGTTATCCTTTCTCATAAGATATCATACTTTCTCTCAAGACGTTGTCCTTTCTCATAAGATTACACCAAGATCATACCCTTTCTCTCAAGACGTTATCTTTTCTCCTAAGATATCATCCTTTCTCTCATGATGGTATCCTTTCGCATAAGATATAATCCTTTCTCTCAAGATGGTATCCTTTCTCATAAAATATAATCCTTTCTCTCAAGACGTTATCCTTTCACGTAAGATATAATCCTTTCTCTCAAGATGGTATCCTTTCTCATAAAATATAATCCTTTCTCTCAAGACGTTATCCTTTCACATAAGATATAATCCTTTCTCTCAAGATGGTATCCTTTCCCCTGTCACAGCCGTACACAGGCCCTGCAAAAAGCTCTGGCTTTGGCGCTGCCTCCTGCGCCTTCAACAGAACGATTGATTTTCTGTCCACAGATGCGCCTGTTTGCGCTAGTGACACCGAGGCGCCTCAGGTTCTAGCCAGCGGAATTGGACAAACCTTAAATGTTAGTTGCAGTGTGATTGCCTCGCCTTCGGATGTCAAGTTCTCATGGGTCTTCAACAATTCAGTGACATCCGAAAGAGTTCCTGTGGAGAGAGTTTACAACAGCGAAGGTGAAATTTGCCTGTCGATGAATGAAAATACTAGGCTGACAAGGCTCGGTTACCTGGAATTTTAAAAATATAGGATTTTACCTACGGATAATTTTATTTTGAATACTGGCGTATATTTTCAGCAATTTCTGTTTGTCTCCAAAAAAGTATTGACATTTTTAGACCTCAATTTTTTTGGGCTAAATTTTTTTCATTTATTTTCAAGTCACTTCTAAAAACTGGAAAAATGACAACTTTATCCAGTTTAAATAAAACTCAAATATTTATCAAAACTTAAAGACGGATAAAACTTAAACAAAGATTTCGAACATATCCATAAAAGGGAAACGTAAAATATAGCTCGCACGCGAAGAAACTTATTTGTGTTGTAGTATATCATGAATATATAACCCTTCCTCTACCTGTTTTTAAGCTTTGTACAATGTTTCCTTGTGGAAGAAAAGTGGCGTGATAAAGAAGCGTCCTGTGAAGCATAGCGTTCAATTCCCGCCATGTGTTACAAATAAAATACGCCACTTCCTTCGGTAAAAATATGTGCTCCCAACTCGGTGAAAATTGCCATCTTAAATTCTTAGGGCACTGTTAGTGGAGGAAAAAATATGAGAACGATATGCGCGAAGGACAGATTTTTTTGACACTCGTATGTAATAAAATAATATACATTTTTTTGACATTCGTATATAATAAAAATAATATTACTACTTTAAAATATAATATTAAATTTTTTATTCACTCACCCAGTATGCAAACCGGCTCCATCTGAATAGCTTGTAGGCTCGTATTCAAATTCAGTTATATCTAGAGTGAAGCCATTACTGCGGGCCAAATTATAACCAAGCCTCTATTATAAAGTCTTAGATCTTGGCGTGCATTCTGATACCGACCCTGGGTTAGGATGTAGCACTGGAAACGTTCCAAGATTTGCTAGGAGCTTGCGTGTGAGGAATGACGGGAAATTCTTCCCATTACTGAACTAAGGAGGGGTTTTGGACGCTTGTGCCACTCTGCCCTGGCGTAATGCATGCATAATGAGGCTGAGATGAGGTGTTCCTCACGTAAACTTATGCAGAGCTTCCTGAATACGGAATATATGAACATTTTATTCAGGAATTTATTTATGAATACAAATACTTGAAATTATTCTCGTACTCATGGATGGATTTCGCCCCACGCGAAATGAGTTGAGCGAATATTTGCCATGAAAATCACAGGTTTTGATTTGCTATAAAAATTCGATTCGGCAGCAACTATGAAAGAATTTTTTCACTAGTTCAGCACACAAAATTACATAATTTCCGAGTAAAGTTGTTGATTAATTAGATTCCCAAGGCAGCATGGCCGTCTGCCTGTTATGAACGCGAGACAGCTAGGATAATTGCAACAGCCCAGGCTTGAGCTTAGCAAATGTTTTATTTTCTTTAAGTGAGGATGCCTGGTAACTATTCACGTTTAATTTAACATTCAACGAATGAATTTTATGTGCCTGTGGTCTAATTACCACGTCCAATAACTGGAAAATTAACCATTAGATTATAAAATCGACATTTTCAGAATGACATAAAAAATTTTTAATATTGAAGTAAAATTAATTGTCCACGATAAAGCTCTCCCATCGTTTGTCCCCGGTTCAATGTTATAACGCTTCCTTCAATATTATAGGATTCTAGCACCCTTGCTTCCTGTGTCACAACAAACCCAAAATTCATATATAATTAATTTGGCCATTAGAGGGCGGTTGGAGTGGCGTGATGTTGAAGATAAAGATAAAGCTCTTCCAATCATTTGTCACCGATTAAATGTAACAACGCTTAATTTATTATTATAATTCCTGTGTCACAACAAACCAAAATTCATATATAATTAATTTGGCCATTAGAGGGCGGTTGGAGTGGCGTGATGTTGATGATAAAGATAAAGCTCTTCCAATCATTTGTCCCCGGTTGAATGTAACAACGCTAAATTTATTATTATAATTCCTGTGTCACAACAAACCAAAATTCATATATAATTAATTTGGCCTAATAGAGGGCGGTTGGAGTGGCGTGCTGTTCGTAGCTCGCACCCAACAAGACTATGGGTCGCTGCAGTGCTGGGCGCAGAACACAGTTGGCAAAATGAGCAAGCCGTGTCTGTTCCACGTGGTGCCTGCAGGTCAGCAAGACGTCTGCTTTGAAGTTCAGAGTTAGAGGAAAGTGTTTTATTTACATGAATAAACGAGCTGTCTTGCTATATTTTACTGTAATTCCTGGGTGATCATCATAAAGATTTAGGGATGAATGGAAATGTTTCAATTATTTTGGTAAGAATTGTATTTCAATTGTAACGAATTGAATTGAACTTCAAAATGTTTTTGAAGGGGAACCAAATTAAATATTCTCAGTTGCTTTGTTTGTTTCAAGTTTTAAGAATTAACGTTATGAAAATCTTATATACAAACTGTTATTTTTGAAATGTAATATTCCTTTAAACTGGTGTACTAATAAAATAACATATTTTTGACAGGCCGACCTGACTCACCCATGAACTGTTCAGTCATCAATAAGACTTACGACTCACTGGTGGTGACGTGCGCACGTGGATTTGATGGGGGACTAAAGCAGTCGTTCGTGGCTCGGGTGAGTGAAGCATTGATAGGTATAATAGGTCCTTGTAGGCATGTGATTTCAGAAATAAACAATCTAAATACGCTCACGGGATAGTGAGAAATAATTTCCACGTGTTCAGTTAACTTATTTAACAAGTTAAAAATAATAATTCTAATCTTGAAATCTTGGGACAATATAAGTGCAATTTAAAAACGGGCAACCTCAAGTATTAAAAGATAAAAAAAAAATTATTATTTAAATTTAACTAAAATTACAAAGTAAATCAACTAATATTAAAAGGAGCTCATTTCAATCTAATATTCTCTACATTTATAACATTTTACGTTTCATAAAAGTCAATTCCTTTGTCCTTGTTTTGCCCTTTGATGTAGAATGTTTTTGGATTAGTTATTCGTCTTCGTCACTGACAATAATACCTTTTGAATTCCCGGGAACTGGTGCAAAAATTCTTGTTTGCGCCTGTTTTATCTTGGCTCTAAGTCCCAATTTTTCGCGTAGAAACTTGCGAGGACTGAATGTCGCCGGGATTTCGTTAGCTAAAGCAAAGTTCAGTCAGGAAAATTTGCACCACTGAAAATTTATCTCACATAAAATTCTTTTTTTTTTGCCCAGCATACAATCGGTTTGAGAGGGAGATAATATAATTTTCTATTCCTAATGCATTTACTGGGAACGTTTCAGTTACTTTTTTTATAATTACTTAAAAATAAAACGGTCATAAATTTAATTTGAAAAAGACTTAAAAATTGCATGGTAAAGAAAAAAATAGATAATTCAGAAATTAACTTTTCTGTTTCTCTCGGGATGTTCAGAGCTGAGGAACTATGTGGCTGATATCCTTTCTCCAATACAGTGTATTTCTATACTATGTGTCTGAAGGGAACTTTGGCTCATAATTCTTTGCAAAGACTGCTCTATTGTGAGGAATTGCTGCGGTCCTTTGAAGAGGCAAAGATAAATGTCTTTCTCTCAATCTTCTGCTGATGCCTCGCAATCCTTTGGCTTTCTCCACAACGGCAATGGAGTACCGGGATTTTCAGCAAGAATCTCATTACGAGAAGATCTTATTCTGCCCTCGAGGAATTTATTTATCACATGGCGGCTTCTGAAGATCGGAAAAAAGATATTCCTTGTTTAGGTGGCGGTAATCAATGGACGTCATATAGCACCGAGCTACAGCTTTGTGGAGTTGATCAAAAGAAACGTGTTGCCTGTCAGGCATGTAGGTTTCTACAGGGCAAAGGCTTCTTTTAGAGAGATTATATGAAACTAAAAAAAATTTGATTCATGAGCGGGAATATTCGAAACGGCGTATGTTTCTGCATGCACATTTCACATATCGGACGCATATTTCACATATCGGACGCATATTTCACATATCGGACGCATATTTCTGGAGACATCAAAGTCCATTGCTCTAACTTTGCGGGATTCATTTAACGTTCGTTTCATATATATTCGGTGATACTTCAGATCACATCGAAAATTTTTCTATTGCTAAATATTGCAAGGGAAAATATTTCAAATTGTGATAGGATGATAGCACGTTGTATATTTTTTACCTGGTCTGGAAATCGATAATTTTGTTACGTGCATATTTAAATGTAATCAGATGAGCAATATCTATAAAAGACTGATTAACGAGCGAGTGAATAAAATTCTATTATAAACTTATTGCCATTTCTCAGGTTTACGAAGCTGTAGGTGGGAGAAGTCAAGTGAACGTTTCCGCTCCAGAGGCCAATTTTTTATTAGAGGGTCTCACTCCAGGCCTCGATTACATCATCAAAGTTTCTGCCATCAATCAACTCGGCGAGAGCGACCCCATCAAACTTGATGCCGTCACATACAAGATGGCTGAAAACAGGATGAGTGAGTTTCTCTCATTTAATTGGTTAGCATTGATGTTGCCGCGGCTCTCCCGACATCAGTGGCTTGGAGATTGGCTTTCAAATTTTCCATGTCGGTTTCCGAAATCAGATGGAACGAGTTGTTCATCAAACTTGTTTTGATAATCATGTTTTTATATTATCAGTGAAAAAGTTTCGTTAATGAAATATATCTCTGTATTACTAAACATTTTATGTTATTTTTCAACGATCAGTTCTGCGATGTTGAGAAACGTCGACAGGTTTACGGCCTAATAAACGCTGCAACCGCTGTTATGAAACCGCTATTATATTTATTATATTATATTATTAACCTTTACATTTCCCACTCCCGTATTACCGCAATTATATTTATTTATTATATTATTAACCTTTCCTTTTCCTACTCCCGTATTCCAGGAGACGAACAAGTGAGCAGCAGCGCGGGCAGCGTGAGCAACACGCGCCCGCGCGCGGACGTGGTCGCGTCGGGCAACTTCTCGGCCGAGTTCAGCGCCGGTGCCTTGCTGGGCGGTCTACTCATCGTCCTGGGGGCCATCATCTTCACGGTTGTGTTCATCCGCTGCGCAGCTATACGGCGCTCGCGACGAAGAAGAAACGCTAGAGAACAACAAGATAAAGATAGTGAAAATTCGGAGTCTTCCAGAGAGAAGAGTAGTTTGGTGGTGACTACTGACGTAGGAGGTAGTGCAGTCACAGCCGGAGCTGGGATACTCTTCCTACCACCGCCTCCTTTAATTCAAGATGTAATAGACGATGAAGGAGTCGCTGGGAGAATGTTGCAAAGGATACCTCCAGGTAAGAGCGACAATCATATTAAATACTCTGATAGTTTTATGGGCCAAATTCATGGGCAAAAAAATTTAGAGGAAAAAAATTCATGTGTAAAGCGAGCCTGGAGTTATTGATAATAATGCCTTAGATATTAAATGTTGCAAATCTCTTGTCCTTAGACTAGAAATCATAAAATATTTTTTGTACAGTGTAATTGAGTGTTCCGCAAATGATTGTGTTGATAAAATTCATTAACGTGATCAATGTGTTGCACTTTTCTCACTCAGATACAGAGACTCCGTTCGATATTTCAAGTTTGTCCATGCATAACTTAGAGGGAACTCCTCAGAGACCTGGACGGCCGAGGTGTGGCAGTTGTGTGAGTAATCTATGAATGTATGTTTGTATGTTAGTAATCATTAAAGTTTTTTTATACAATAGGTAATTTTAAATTTGATAAAACATGAACTTTTAATATATACGCAGCTTGATTCATTTTTTAGAAAAAAAAAATTAAATTTGGGATGATGAGTTCGACGTATCAGTTTCAAACATATATCCCATGCAATAAAAAATATATAGCACCCATTTTAAAACCACAGCATTGCAGTTTTTGCTCAGTTCACAAAACATTAAAGTAGTCTAGTGAGCAAAATAGTCATGCCAGAAGTAAAGTAACGAATAATTTTTATTTGTCCACAGCAATTGACGGACCAGACGTTGTGAATGCTCCGCTGCTGTTAGGCGCAACGCATCGAGAGGCTCAAACTACAAACCAAAATTTTTCATCATTTACTTTAAACCTCCAATGAACTTCCTGGCGATAAAATAACATTTTTTTCTGTTAACATGCGAATATGATATTGTTGAATTTAATTTTAATTATCGCTCAGTCTGCATTTTGCTCGAGATCCTAGAGGTGTCATTTATGATATGTGTTTTATTTTGTAGTGATTCCTGAATGGGCAATATTACGTCCAGGATGAGATGAGAAACATCAAATTCAATTTTTTTTAACTTTTCCAAACTTGTTTTCATTCTCAATCTAACTTTATCGCATATGTGATTCAATAGATAATTTTTTTCTGTCTTTTCGCCGCAATTTTAGCGATCTTGGCCAGTGTGATCGCCAAAATATGTTAAAACTCCGTAATATGTAGGTGAATATATTTTATACTGTACAGACATAAATTATAAAAATGTTCCAAGTTAGGTCGTTATAGCGGAAATGATTTATTGTCTGTCACGTTAAAGAACAATATCAGCTGCGGACAGTTGTTAATGATGTAGAGCATTTATATCAGTATTGTACGTATAGTTATATCCAAACGCTTAACATGATTTAATAAAATTAATAATGAACCATTCATTTCTTGGATAAGCAATATTGAATATGATGGGCAATGACCTTGGAAAACAATTATTTGTACAACATTGGATAATAATAGGCGCTCTTAAAGTAGTATGCTACATCCAACCCTCTTATGCATCACTAAAAGCTACATATTAATTTTAATTCAAAATGACAGATTTACAACGGCAACAATTCATAGTTTTATAAAAGTTGTTTCTAAACAGAGAAACTGTTAAAAATTTCGCGTGAATTAGTGCGAAATTTTTCGTAATCACCATCTAATGTCGGAATTTCGACTAAAGGGCGTATGACATTCCGGAAATTCGATGCAGCGATGTGGTGTCATTTTTTACACCAACATTTTTGTAAACATTTTTGCGCAATCGCCCGTATTTCACCAAGACAGGAATGAGTAATCTCCTCATTAGGCCCAAAAAGCTACTAATTTTGTGAAAGTCGTTTAACGTTTTTTTGGAGTATTTTGTAAGCTCTCATAAACATTATTGCATTATTTGAAATGGAATTACTAGAAACTGTGAATAATACAAATAATTTGTGTACTATTGTGTGAATGAACGAAGAAAGAATAAAGAAGAAATTTTAAATAATAACTAATTTATTTGTTGTCTATTCAAATGCTGCAAGTATAAAATTTGTGTGCCGTACATTTTCTACTTTTTTATTTTGTTTATCTTGCATGGAAATAAAAGAAAGTGATTTGTTATATTGAAAAATTTGAAATTTGAACCTGATTAAAAACCATTTTGTATTATTTACTTTTCTCCGATTTAAATCTTTTCCATTGAGATGTGTTAAGGATTATATCGCAAATTTCCTAACGTTTTTGTACATATCTAAATGTATAATTACAAATGTTGATAATTTATATGTATTATGAATGTACAAATAATATAAAATAATGAATGTAGTGTAAAGGCTTTTTCTAAATCCTTGAGAATTGACAACAAGTTTCACTCTCTTTAAGTGAACTAACAAACTCATCTTAATATCGTGGTCTTTGGAACAGCAGAGCTAATAATAATTCTTCAACATTTACGGAGCGTCGCAAATTTAACTTAATTACTGCAGTTATACATCTCTCTACTTACCTACCAAAGTGAAGTAAAATTTCAGACCAACGAGAACATTTCGGCGTGTTCACTGCAATTTTACAATGAAAATTTTGAATAGATTTGTGTTTATTTAGGCGAGTCTGTTTTCCATAAGAACGAGTGTACCCTCAGTAAAAGCTTCAAACTTTATGGACTTTGAACGCACTATTTAGCTGTCAAAGAATGACATGGAGGCAATGTGGCCCCAAATAATTTACTTACAGGTGCCTATTCTATTCTCAGCATCATTATTTTCGTCCGCAAAAATCATTTCAGTAAATTCATTTTCAGGAGAATGTCAAAACCTTATATTTTCAGTTTAAATACTTATAGAACTCTAACATCCATTACTAGTTGAAGTATTTGTTTAAATTTGAATTCAATAATCTCATAGCAAGTGGAAATCACGAATAAAAAATAATTTTTGCGTATTAGATCCGTATATTATACTTCCACATGCCATTTTGCATACAAACAAAAATTAAAGTCATTTCTTGCATAAACACGTGGGACCTGTTAAAATATTTACAAAGATCCGCTGAAAATGAGCCAGTCCAAAGTGTCCAAGTTCCTTAATTACAAGCATCTCAGGGTAAAATACGCAGCCATGAGAGTCCCAAACTTCAGACAGCCCTAAAAGATATCCTGATCCCGAGGCACCGTTGCTCGCTCGGTTAATAAGTTTCCTAGCGAAATTTGGGCTGTTCGACTGGCCGTAAGTTACCCCAGAGCTACGGAAACAAAACTGGCCGTGATAAAATGCTGGCATCGACGAAAGTGCAACTCGGGCTTGAGAAAAATGACCTTCCGCCGTGAAACTTTCTAAGGAATTTTTTGACATAAGCGAAGCCTTAACTTTTGACCCGTGGAGTTGGTCGAGCCAGATTATGGTGAGGAAAATGTGTTACGTAAATGAAAAGGAGACCTAATTTTAAAAGAAGCATAAAAATATCTTTTAATATTTATCAATAAAATTAATAGATAAGTTCCATTTTAATACATGGCTTCGAATGCAAGACCTGGGCTGCCTCTGGACTCCATTCGACGTCACATAAGCGATATATAAAATATGAAGGAAAGGCAGTGAGGATTTTAAATCGATTGATTCAAAGTCTGAATTTTTAAGCGTATCTATAATTCTAATTTCGATTGTATCAAGCCTTTGCATCCATTAATTATCAAACTTCAAGTCTCTGTACTGAGTAAAATTTGGCGGTATCATCCCGTTAATAAATACTCGTATATCACTTGTATTGCTTATAGAGCAAGCAGATATCTCATATTTATGGCCGATTTTATTATAATACACGTCTAAGAAAAGTTACCGCTTCCGGAATAGTTATAATTTTGTAACAGAAGGCATCTGAAAGGAGAAAACATTTCCCAATTACCAAGCAAACTCGTCTGAAATATGAAGACATTAAAAAATTTTATATGTAATCAAATAAATTTTCATGAGCTAAAAATTAAATCCTATTCAGTATTTTTGTTAACAAAAGAAACTCAAAACAAACGCGCATTCCAACTTATGATGTTAATTAAAAATGCGAAATGTGTGAACATCTACCGAACATTTTTTAAAGAATTATTGATGAAGTATGATCTTCCGTTACGTGTTTATTTAACGAGTTTGAAATTTAAATGTTAATTTATCGATTTCACTGCGAAATGTTCGCAAAAATTTTTTTCATGAAAACATATACGCCCCAAAACGGAGCTCGGCCAATCAAACGATTAACCGATCATTTGATTCGCACTGAGCAGGGCGAACTCTCAATCATTCTTTCAGCTAATTCACCACATCAGTTACTGTGGCATAGCAGGATGATTAAATTGGCTTCATTTGATGCGGGACGAGCGATTAATCTTTATTGGCCACGTTAGCAATTTTTTGCCAAATCCGGTGACTTTTTCGTCGAAGTTTTTTTTTTGCGATAAGTTTGGTAGATTTTCATTCTGTGGAATACACAAAAATTGTCATAGTTTTTCTGACAAAATGATTATGGCGGAACATGAATAGTTTGGTAGATTGAATATCGTTGAATTTTTCCTTGTAGTATCAAAGCAATTTTCATTTTTTTATTAATAAATTGTGCATTGCGTTACTGTGACATATTTTAATGTTCACTTAATACAATCAATAATTTTTGGAATGCAAGTTTATGAATCAGTATTACCCAGTTCTCCGGCTGGGTGCCCTACTAACAAAATCGTATAATTAAAATTACATTTCACAGAATTTATCTAACGGTCCGATCAATATTCATAAAGGTGTTGAATAAGAAAATTTTATTATACTCCTAACAAAACAGGCAATTATTTTCTTTGGTAGAGAGGACCAACGACAGAATCTTGCCTTGACAACCTACACCTTTGTTATTATTTTTAGTCTGTATATATGATGTTACCACGTGCCGGCATAGCTCCGAGCAGCCATAGCGCTTTTCGTTAATGGTTTCATGTTCATAAATCGATTAATAAAGGCTCTTTGATTTATTAATAAATGCTCCTTGATTTATAATCTATGCTTGGTGAGTTGTATAAACTCGCTTCTCAATCTACTGGTTAGGTAAGATAATTTCGTTTAATTAAAATGGTGTTTCAAATAAACTCATGTTGTTTATGAAGTTTGGAAACGTGAAAAGTCAAGCAATATGATACATAAATAAGTAAATAGTAAATCAGACTAAAATATAATCCCTTCATAACCTTCGTTTCTGCTGTTGCTAAAAAGAGGCCCTAACACCAAAATATTGTTAAAATAACGTGTCTTTTATACTTACAAGTAATTTAATCAACTGCATGTGCTGCAAACCATTACTATATGAAGTCTTTAACATGAAAATCATTTGCGTTGTTGAAGAAGAAATTAATTAAAATGATCTCTGTTTGTACCCAAGATCGGAGCTAAGGACTTCCTAATTATATACAGGCATAGCCTGGTATAAATCCTGGGCAAATAGGGGAAGTCAAACCCATGACCCAATTTCCGCAGAATATTCGGAGGCGAATGTCGTGACTCGTACAAAAAACACGGAATATTTTTCGTATTTTTCTTTTGTCGTTCGAAGTGACGTTATAAATAAAGGCTGGGTGCTCACTACGGTAGTTTCGGGCTCTGTAATTACGTAGTTTGGCGAGAGAAACGTTCTCTCATTACCTTCATCACAAACAAGAGGTGATTAAGCACCAAGTCCTGAGATCATCACAGGACGCGACTTAACGTACCCAGAGCTGCTGATGAAAGGACGGCCTCAATGGACGCATTTAGACCACATACACGGGAATATTACGGCTCAATGAGCCTAAAGTATCACTAGAATTTTACGGGAATTAGGTCGAACTGCCAGAAGCCTTTGCAAATGAAGTTAGTTCATGGATACGACTTGTGCATAAATTTTTTGAGAAGACAGTCGTGGCTTTAGTACTGTAGTGTTTTTTCAGCTATGGTTGTCATGAAATTCGTGCAATTTGACAAGTTTCGAGTAACCGAATGAAAATTGATGGATAAAAATAATAAAGAATATAGTATTATTATTTTAGTTCCATGAATCTAATTTTCTTGGGAGATCAAGCGTTTTATGTTTATTCGGTAGTTTATAGTTAGGGTGCCATTTCAGTTTGCTGTGAGACCTTCAGAACAAATTACCTATATTTAAGTATAAAGTGTTTCTAAGATACTAATTATCTTTCCTCTTAGGATCTTCATTGTCGATTACATGACTCGAAATGTTTGACAGCAAGCGTCATTGATGAGTATAACCAAAAAGATAAAATAGTGCCAGTTAACCTTTGTCTGATTATTAGAAATCCATCAATCAAAAGATAGACCTATAAGAAGGACTCGGCGTTCTCCAAACGTTTTCCGATCCCTGAACTGATCACGAAGACTCCATCCGTTTGACCTCGCGACGATGGCGGCTCTATATCCTAACTTATTGGAACATTTACAAGATTTCCATTTAGGCCGTGATCCTGTCTTGACCGCTCTTCCGCCACCTGAGGAAGAACGAGCCACATTTACCGAACAAAACACTAGAGTTCTTTACGCCACGGAAGCTCTTGTCATTTCGTATCGTCCAGTTGAAGCCCTAAGACTGATGGCTCAGTTTTAAAAGAACTATACTGAATTGCGGAAACTTCGCTGCTATTGCAATGAATGCGTAGGCCGGAGGTAGCGTTTCTAGTGCAATTATTTTCAACGATGGAACTCAAAACAATCAAGAGTCAATCACAGAGAAGTGAAGGGGACTTCAGATTTATATTCTTGTTCCGAGATCACGAATATGATGAGATTTGTGCAGCTTGCATAAATATTTTTTATGTTTCATGAGCATGAATCTACACATTTTATGAGAGAAAAAGTCCTTTAGCAAGTGTGCATGAGTGAGAAGCAAACCTTAGAAAAAATATTTCTTCGTCCGACTATCACTAATACAAAACTTATCTCCTATTTCGGTTAATCTAGCCCATTTACGGAAACTCCCACACTCGACCAGAATGTGAGTACATATACAGTTACACTAGACAGTTACGTATACTATACAATTACGTACAATATACAGTTACTTACTGAATACAGTTAACTGTTT